TAATGCGTCACTTTTTACCCTCAGTCAGAATACTTTTCTACAGTTCCATTATTATCCTCACAGTTTGTTGCATTGTAATATTTGTCTCGAATGTGGTTATCTGGATTCAAGTAGGTAAGAGAAAACTATTTTCTCACTATCGTAATGCCGCTTACCAAGAAAGACAACTCACAATCACTTTGCTAATAGTCATGCTGATTTCTTTATCTGCATGGCTTCCTTTTACGATTTTAAACGTCGTGAACAGATTTCATCCTTTTTCGTTGAGCCCTAACCTCATTTACTGCGCCAAGCTTCTCCAGTATGGGAACTCGTGCGCAAATGTTTTTATTTACTCCGTGAGGATCTCAGAATTTCGTAAAACCTTTGAGAGGATCTGCTATTCCATGCGTGTTGATAACCCGGATGCGGCTCTGCTTCAAACCCAAGTAGCCCGACTGTCCAGGGAGACCACTGTACTAGAAATGGGGACTCTGCCATCAAAACTTTTCAGCAAAAATGGGGAAAAGGAGAAGACCAATGTTTTTACTTGATTTTATTCAATGCCTTGTTTTCACTAGCTTGTGCCACAGACGAAACTAAAGTCTGATTAAGTCCGTCTGCGAAACAGCGCCGAAATGCTTGTTCTAAACCCCTACCTGTGTACCAGGAATACGCGCGATGATTGGCCAGTTAAAATCCATTATCGATTTGCCAATCAGATTGAAAGGAAATTCGAAACGCATTTCCGGTAATCGTTGAGTCCGCTGGGGGGCCATAATAGGGATCTCGGCGCGACTTCGCAGCCGTTACTAACCGGCGTTAAATTACCTCTGCCACGCAGGCTATGTTTTCGGTTTTTTTGAAGTAATGTCACAGGTAGTAGCACAGTACGAATCCTGTACAATTACAATGTTTGTATGGGGTAAAGATACGATCCTAAAATTTGTAGGACATGCTAAATAAAAGTCAATAAATGTATTCACACGTAGTTTTGTGTTAATGTGCTCAAATTCTCCCTCCATTCAATAAAATCTGCCCCAGATGTGGAAAGCAATGAAGCTTTCCAAACTAGCGAAACAAATCCAGCAGACTTTGTGAAACACGAACAAGAAGAGATCCAAAAGTAGCCCGCGGAAACCACTTACAGCAGAGAGACTAAGATTCACGTTTACGCCAAACGGCAAACGTGAATTTGTACCACGTGACCAAGTTTTTTCCCCTTAATTGTCGTTCACTGTTTATTACTTCAACTAAAAAACAATTACCGTAAAATTCCGAAAACAAGCCCCGGGGCTTATATTTTTCAAAGGCTCTTTTTGAGGGGCTTATTTTTGGAGGGGCTTATCTAAGGAGGGAAATTTGCGTTTCAAAATCGATTGGGCTAGCCTTATAGTTGGAAGGAAATTTACCGTTTTTGCTTTGTTTTACTTTGTATTTGAGGGCGATTTCCAAGTACAAGCCCCCGGGGGGGCTTATATTTGGAGGGGTAATTTAACGGAGGGTTTTTTGCGTTACGAGTTTGGGTGGCTTATATTTGGAGGGGCTTATACATGGAGGGGCTTATTTTCGGAATTTTACGGTAGTTTCACGCCAGTTTTATACATAAGAATTGTTCTGGACAGTTTATATCTGGTTATTTTCTATTCTGAGAAATTCTCAACTTGAACCTGATGTTTGTCGTTTGGCGTAAACGTGAACCTTAATCTCTCTATTATGTAGTTCTTGGTCCGGCCAAAAAAGACGTAAATGAGTATTTCTTATCGTAGGAGAGGATTAGTGAGCTGAAATTTGTCCTGTAAGTTGCCGTTACATTTTACCAACTTGTGACAAACCGACAGCTTCCGAGCTTTGCCGAAAATCCTGCATCAAAGAAAATGACCGCTCCGTTCGAAGGCCCTTGGTCCGGCCATTTCGGCCATTTTGTAAGACTGCACGCAAACTGTGCGCAAAAAGAAGCGTTCCAAGAACCAACTGGTATAAATTCCTGTATAATTTCTATGGGCATCATTTTAACTTCAAAACCAAAATGAGATTTCTGTGTAAAAGAGCTATATGAATGCTTTACTAAGAAATAAACGAAACGGAAACTGAACTTTCTGAGGTCCTCCCTTTTCAATCACTATTTGGCTGGTTTACTTATTGTCCTGTGGCCGGATCAAGGACCTAGCACGCAAAACGACGCAAAAATTCATAGGAGTTGACTGGCGGGACCGACGGCTGATTGAGAGGCTTTCCATGGGGCAAAGTGCGAGAGTCAGGCTGAAAGATGGCTTATCAAACCCAGCAGTGATTGGCCGCGGCACAGATAAGGTTGCTCGTTATCCCCCATACTCCTTAACATATATGCTGAAGCCGTGTTAAGAGTTACGTTAAGCGGTGTGAATGAAGGTATTCGAGTGGGAGGCCATCTAATTCTCTCTTGCATTAAGACAGTTAGCTTTGCGGATTATCAAGCAACCTTAGCCGGTTCATTTAAAGGTCTGCAACTTATGATGGATAAAATGCAGGAAACCGCGGGAGAATATGATATGAAGATCAACGTTAAGAAAACTAAGGAGATGAAAATCAGTAAGAGGCCTGGTGAGGAATTAACGATCTATCTTGAGGGTAAACTGATGAAGTCAAGAATCGCTCTTTAACTTCCTTGGGAGCCCTATTACACAAAACGGATCCTGTAGGAAAGAAATTAGATCGTGAATAGCCCGAGCAAAGAACGCGTTTCCGAAGAGAAAAGAACTGCTGACAAAAGCCTTCAGCCTTTACCTGAAGAAGAGAATTTCGTCCAAGATCCCGGCTTGGAGTCCCTTCGAGTTGGCGATATGATTCACCTGAGGACTGTTGTCCAGACATTTTCAACTCGTTATGTGAACTTGGTGTCGTTTTTCGATCAGTGTTTCAACCTTGAAAAAAATTTAAAATCCATTTGCAAGTCTGCGCATCATCACCTCAGGAACACCGCCAATAAATTAGAAAGTACCTCACTGAGGATAGTGCTAAATGTGTGGTACACGCTTTCGTCGGGTCTAAATAAGATAACTGTAATGCTCTTGTATATGAACTTCCGCGGCAGCTACTTTTCAAGTTGCAATCAGTTCAATATTCAGTGGCTCGAGATTCAACGCGCACCAGAAAAAATTCGATCGCATTACCCCTGTTGATAGAGCTACACTGGTTACCGGTTCGGTACCGTATAACGTGTAAAATTCTTCTGCTAGTTTTTAAATCCCTTAATGGTAGCAGCACCTGATTACATTTCCGACTGTCGTCAGTATAAGACACAATCATGACGTACGTTGCGGTCATCATCACAAAGACTTTTGGCTACCCCGACAGCTCGCTTAAAAACATATAGGGATCGTGCTTTTGGTGTAGCTGCCCCCAAAACTGTACTCGCCTCTGCACTCGTGTTTGAAATTGAAGCTAACACGTAACTTCTTTGTTTTGCTAATCACAACACTTTGTTTGAAACGATCGAGATGAAACTTGTTTTATGCCCGAGGGGGTAATTCCTAATAATGGGCAAAGAGACCCGCTGGATGGGGTCGCATTTTCACTACTACATTGACTAAAAGGGGTTTCAATAGAGTTGCTAGAATGGGGTCGCACATTTTCGGGATTATAATTAGGGATTTCAAACCGTGAGGATTTTTACTGCATTAAGTATAACAAATGTGCCAATTAATTTCAGGATGACCTTGATAAAAGGCTTTAAAAGGTAGATGCATAAACAGACCCAAGAGAGGATAAAGAGTTTTATCCTCTTACTCTTGACAGAACGAAGTGGCTAAATTGGGATCACGAAAATTACATTTACCCAAAAAAGACTAATACGGGGTCTATAATTGGCCACAGAATTGACTATAATGGGATAGGGGTTGTGAGAGACTAGCGGCACACACCCAGCAAAACTTACACAAGTAACCACCCACACCACCCCCCTCCTGGAGTCTTATGTTAGCCTGCGTTGCAGCCCGCCCGGCCCACGCATGGTCTGTACCATTTTTAAAATAGACAGTATAGTCCGTCTGACACTCCGCTACAACAGGTTTAGAGTGTCTACGACGCAGGCTAGGTTTATGTACGACTGATTTTCGAACGTTCGATTATGTTCGATGCGCAAAAGTTCTGGGTAAGTTCGATTCCACTATGTTCGATTATAGAACCCAATCGAAGTCAATCGAACGATTGGAGTTCGATTGGATGCGATTACCGAACGTTCGATTGACTACTCCCAAGAGAGAATTAGGCCCGGTTCAGACCCCGAACTTTTCATGAGTTGAACCTAAAACATTGAATTAAGTACATGAAAAGTTCAGCGTCTGAATCAATTAGGAACGCCTGATTCAATTTGGAACGCCTCAGCCGTTCTCTTCGCCCAGCCCTGCCGGGAATTTTGCCTTTGGAGCGACTTTGGAATGGCTTTGATTCAGACGCCGAACTTTTCATGTAGAGAACCTAATGCATAAATTATTAAAACGTATTTTGTAAGCAGTTGGACCGAAATGAGCATTTTTTGCCCTTTGAACTTAGTTCAGCTGCAATTAAGATCGGTGTCTCAATCAATTCAGCCGGTCTAAATAATTTGGGTCGGCCTTTATTCAAATTAGGTTCAGCTCATGAAAAGTTCGGCGTCTGAACCGGGCCTTAGGTACGTAATCGCTTGAGCTGGCCGTGGAAGGAGAAATTTTTTTTCTACACCACCCTTTAATTCGGAACCAAGTTTAATTTTTACTTTGTCAGAAAACATTAGCGTTTCGTGATCGCTTTGTGGTAAGAGCTTAAGCAAAGTTTCAAAGCAAGTGTGAGAAAGACAATTTCTTTGCGTAAATCCATCATTAAATATTCATCTGGATTAAAATTAACGTGAAATGTTAAACTGCGGTTAATGTTAATGTTAATGTTATTTTTTTTTTATTAACTAAATACAACGGCAGAAGGCAACAAAAGTCAGTAGATTGCCAGGTAAGTGAACGTTGATTGCTAAGCGAGAGGGATATCGAATCACCCAAAATCTTCATATGTCAACGGGAACCATTCTCGACCCCAGTGCTTACTCTTCCAACAACGTGCGTAAGCTCGGATCCGACATAGCTAAAATCTGGCTATTTGGTCCCTCACAGCGCATGTTCTTCTATCCAACCAAAACTTTGCTTCTTTCTTCATCGCGAAATCTCGTCTTTTTCGGCATTAGAACAGAAGAAACGGAGCACTTAAAGAATTTTCGGGTACCCAAGGCTCTTGTAGTAGCTGCAGAGAAAACACCGTTAAACGTTCACAGGTTTGAGACTTGACATTTGCAAATGCTCGACAGTCCATTAAATATTTGCGTGGACTGCTCCACTAGTCGGCAAGTGAAACCCGAATGGCTTGTAAACTGATAACGTGAGGTAATTCCAATAAAATTTCCACAATGTGAATTTAGCGTCCTTTTATTTATGTTTGTTTAAAAAGATTAAAATAGACTCTTCAATAAAGCGACTTTGAACTGAGATATCGTGGGGAAAAGAAGACAGCTATAAATGTTTACGACATGAAGCTGAAGTCTTTATTCATACTCGGCTACTTCGCGAGAATACGATAACGTGGAAGTCGAAGGATAATTAGGAATGTGTCTTGCTTCTTAAATTGTAGCTGGCAAAGATAGCGGTGTATTTTTATTTTCTTTTTCCTGACTTCAAGTCTTAAATTTCTTGTCAATTTTAGATATGAGGCTAATGTATTTTATTGGGAAAACTGGGGAATCTAGTTATTCTGCTTGAATAGTGGAGCAAATGTTGTTTTGGGATCGCTGAAATCGAGAATCGGCCAGGCGTGTTTTCTCCAACATTTGTAGGAAAAAAACCGTTCACACGCTAGACACGCCGCACCTTCACAAAAAATACTACCGAATACATCAACAGCTGCCAGAGACGACCACGTGACAGGATCAGCTAAGGATTTAGACGGTCTATTTTGACACTGTGACTTTTCCCTGTCGTCTTTGATAAATCGCCACGTCGAAGAAGTATCTACATCAGGCGGTTGTCCACTTCAGCATGTATGTTTCGTTCTCCCAATAGGGCTTGTGATGTACTCAGGGGAATTTTTTCCTTTTTTGTGTTTTTATAGCTTATGCGTATATATATGTATATGATGAACGTGCATGAACAAATGTAGTCAGTTGAAAGAAATAGGATCACTTGAGTAATCTAGGGAACAAAACGAAAAAGCTTAAGATTTCAGTACTGCTGAGGGTTTTTAAAATTACATAATCATCAAAACCAACCTAGCTCCACTAAAAAACAAAAACAAAAAGTTTAAAGTCGTCAAGCAAGACATTTTTTGTTATTGCTGCTGAATTAATTAAAGCTTTCAATATTTCATGCCTACTGAACTTTGAATAGTTTAAAAACTAAATAGATGTGAATTAAAGCGATCAATAGCAAACTCAGAAGGTAATCTTAGACCACCAGACCATATCTTCAGATTAAGATTCTCATGCAACCCCACCATGAAATTATACATAGGGAAGAAGCATCAAATGCAAAGATTATCACAGTCAGTTGTCTTGAGATCCAACCGTGATGAGTTGCGATGAGTATCCTTGCATTTAATTCGAGTTTGTGTGTTTAGGCCATCATCCTGTGGTTTTGAAATCATATTCATATATTCACTATTTTAGAGGAAGAATCAGTTCTATTATTCACGTCAATTAACGTGACAATTTGGGCCATCTCAGTTCTGAACTATATAACAAAAAGCTATTATGGCCTCAGTGCACAACTCTAATGCATCCAGGACACAAGAGCTATCCTCGTGAAAATCTGTTGAAACTTAGACCAACAAGCAATCCCAGCTGATGGTCGACATTTTTCTTTCGAACATCAGGGAAGGTTTCAACATTACTGTCGGTACTCCAAAATCTTGAAGTAACTTTCGATAAAGGGATCGGGCTCCAGTGCAAATAACTTGCGCTTGGAATCACATTTGACACAATTTGCCCAATCACGATCAATCTCCCCACTGGTTACTTTAGACCAAACCAGAGTGGCGTATGAGGGAAAAAATTAGCATTCAAATTGTTCTCTAAACAATTTTCTAAATATATAACCCCATTAACAACAAAAGATCTGAATAATCGACGCATGGGTACTAGATTATCCTAATATTTTAACAGGCGCCTCATAAATAAACCATAAAGGACCCATTAAATGTGATATACAATTCAATCCGTGTTAAAAAAAGAAGAGGCTTTCTGGCTGCAATTTGACTCTTAATTACATTCGGGGACCATCTGGCGACATGGACGGCACTGAGCTTCAGTAGTCAGTCTTTAATAGAAAGTTGGTCGGCAAAGATGAATAGAGGAAGTTAAATTTGAAAATCCTTTTGCAGTCATTAAAACATCTGGCTATTAAATCAAGCAAGGCGATAGGTAAGAGATTATGGAGATTTACTCGGGATTTCATGGCTCTTTCTTCCTCTTTTTTTGTAATCTTTTTCATTTGTGACCTCAAATACGTTAAACGTTTTGAAACTGAGAATCTTCATAAATTTCAAGAAGCAAACCCGGCCCTCTGCGAATGTCGAAAGATGGGGATCATATGGGCATTGTCTTTCTTTCGGTCCAGAAAATTTTGCCTCAGGGTTAAAGTTTTACCTGAAAACGTCTGATATCAAGAGCCGTGAATTACTAATTACCTAGTGATTAAGATTTGAAACAGACTGAAAAGCGAGCATTTTCAGTACCCTTCACAGACCCTTTATTTTCTATCAAGAGACCTTCGTGCGCGCGTATGAGGGACGAATTGCCGAGAAAAAAAGAAAGAAAAACCGCTGTGGGCAGGCTAGCATTTCATAAAATGAATTCATACAAAAAATTATGTTTGATAAAATAAGGAATCTGAGAAAGCAAAATTTATCTCGTAGGCTTTGCGTGCATCGTTAAAACTATTTCATAACGTGATAGAGCGTTGCTATGCAAGCCATTCGAAAACATTAAACATTCTGATTTTGGAGAAATTTTGAAATGGGGCTATGCAAAATTATTTTCCTCATTTGATTGATTTAAAGCTAAGTTTAAATTTCTGTTTGTTTGCCAAAATCTCAGTTGAAATTTTCCAACTTATTCCTTTTTGTTTGAGGATTCAATCACAATCTTATAAGTGTTTTAAAGGGACAGGTTCACTGTTCAGCGCATGCTCATTTAACAAAATACTGTTTTTCTGCCGGGACATGCTGTATCGTCTATTCAAGCAATATGATTACGTCATAATATTGTCAAAGAACCAATCTGCACACTCTCCTGGCTGTCACTTGATCAACTTATGTACAAATAGCTGTAAATTAATCAATCATGGAATAAAACCTTCCGGTCAACAATAAATTCAACGTTGGTAGCATTGGCATAAGCCAGTAATTTTTTCTGCGGTTTTAGTACTCCTCAATCCTACTTCAAGTTACTCTTAAATACAATTCTACTTTGAAATACACTCTGAGATCGCTGAAATACATGTGAGTGGGTTTAACCGATAGGATTAATAATTAACTGGAAAAAAGTAATTTAATTAATGAGCATGCGCTTAGCCGCGAACCTGTCCCTTTAAAACAACTACAGTTGACTCCCGATACCTCGAACCCTCGCTAACTCGAACCTCGCACTAACTCGAACCAAAATCGATTTCCCCTGGATTTCCATCATACATTCACTGTAATTTTACCCTCATTAACTCGAACCCTCGATAACTCGAACTCCCGCTAACTCGAACCAATTTTCGTTTTCTCTCAGGTCATTTTCTATATAATTTTACCTTGGATAACTCGAACCCTGTTTTGAGCTCTCAAAAAGTCGGGAAAAAAACCGTCTACCGGCGTCCGAAACATTGAATTTTGGATTTGCTATTGACGTGTTGTAGGAGTATAGTTTACCTAGTGGAGGCTGATGTTGATTGTCACAGGCTAACGTGAGGCAGCTTTTCTTCTCAAAACAGTAAAACGCATGCTCTATTTAGGCCATGTTTTGTTACGTTACGTTCTGATTTATAATCTAGAAGTATCTTTATACTTATCACAAAAGCAAGTTTTTTTTTTTCAAGGATATACTTGTGAAAAGAAATTGCCAATGGGGTAAGGTAACCTATAATACGTGTAAATGTGTTTAAAAACGTCGCAAGTTTCGCTGTATCTAAAAGGCTAAATCCCTGCACGTAGTCCCGAAAAATAGTCTTCTCTCTCTTGTAGCTGTTAACAAAAGTGACGTGCGTTTAAGTCCCCAGTATTTTGGACGTTCACGCCGTCCTTCTTCAGGGCATTTAATGTAAAAGAATCATTTTAACATTAGCAAATTCTTAAGTTTCTTTTAATATCTTTACCGAAATAATATAAAAGGGATGGACTTCTCCGCCATGATTGATCAATCAATGTTTACTTCAGTCTTTACGGTATTAAGTGTTACTGACTGTTTTATACAGCTCTAAGTAGGTTAGATTGTTAAATTTGACATCCAATGAGAAATGTCCATCAACCGTCAAAATATCGAGAATCAAAGAGCGGCATCTGTTTATTTCTCCGTGATCTTAACCATATACTTAATAGTCAGACTTACCCTTTCAACATTGTCCGAAATTTAATTAACATTAAACTTTTTTAGCCTTAAGCAGAGCTTAAGCTAGCTTTACCTGTATTTTAAGAGTACTTAAAATAAGATATATTTTCAAATCTTTTAGGACGCCTTTAAATTGTTAAAGCTAGATTTCAAAAGGATTTTTAAGGCCCAAAGCAGATTATCTGCAACTTCTTTAATTTTCTTCCTGAATAAGTTAGGGCTGACATATCCTCAACGACAAAAGCTCGTCAAACTTTTATCCATTTCTCTACCACGTTGGTAAAAAATGTGGGAGTCCATAAACAGCATTAATAAATAACTCTGTTTTATATCTTATTAAGTGAATGTTTTTCTTTCTTTTCTATTCACCATTTTGTATCCGGGTGTACTGTAGGTGCTTGTTCCCGTGATTGGGTAGCTGATATCAGTGAGGTAAAAAATAGCTTTTAGCTGCGTATAGATTCTTATCATCATAAAAGTGGATATTTTGTCGCCTGTGGCATGGAAGTCTGTTAACTGCGAAATTTTCTTTTGCAGAGGCGATCATTTTCAATGCCTCAAGTGAAACCGTGACTGGGAGAAGATATTCTTGGACTTTAAAAGTTCAAAAGGTACGGATCAAACTAAAGTTAGATAAACGAATTAGGCCTTCTATTAACTGAATCATATATTTCGTCGAAGACACGATTCCTAGCGCTTAAGCAGCGAAAGAAATAGAACTTTGATGGCCGTACGGTTTCGGGGGAGGGAGAAGACAGTGTAAAATAGAATTGGTATGTTATCATCGGCTTATGAAATCATGTTTTGTAGGCCTCTGGCCAAAAGTCGAAGACTGAAACTGCAAAGGGTGACAGGCAGTACATCTTTACCGGTGTGAAACCCTCTGAAGTCCTTTTATATTTTCGTTGACGAGTTTTTCTTTCCTTATAACATAGTTATTAGAGGAGACTGGTTATGAAAAGCGGCAAACATCAATGATAAAAACAACAGTCCTGCAGTTTATGTTGGAAGCACCCTGAAAGTGCACAATCCTTTGTTTTCTGTTGGCAAATTGTTACGGAATAAATTAATGCAACGTTTTTGGTCAATACAATCAAAATGATAGGAATTCTTTTGAACGTTGTGCACTTTCAGGTCCACAAAAACATATAACAAAGGAGTCTAACGGGTTTCATAACCCTTCCACTCAATTAACTATGCTTATAAGAAATAATTGGTGCATCGTTCTCAAGATATTTGGCGGAAAAGTGGTAGATTTAGTATAAGGTGACATTTTTGAGTAAAGATTTTTTATCGATTTTTTTTTCTTTTTTAATTTGTAATATCAAAACCACCCTCTGACGAATGTTATGCTTAGGAAAAAACAATCTGAC